TTTTGTTTGAGGATTTTTGCACACATATGTTCATCAGGAGATTTGGCCCTATAGTTCTCCTTTTTGCGAGGTGTCTTTGCCTGGTTTGGATAAGTGTAATACTGGCTTCATAAAATGTGTGTTTCGGGCATGTTTTCCTTCCCTTTCTATTCATGGAACAGTTTAAGAGAGGGTTGGTTCAGTTCATTAAAGGTCTGACTAGAATTCACGAAGAGCAACCATCAGGTCCAGCACTTTTCTTCTTTGGGAGACCTCTTTGATTGCTGCTTCAATTTCATTTTGTGTTATAGATATATTCAAATGATTAATATCCTCTTGGTTCAGTTTTGGATGCGTCATATGTACTCTAGAAAAATCTGTCCATTTCTTTTAAGATTTTCAAATTTATTTGAATATATGTTCTCAACAGTAGTCTTCTGATTGATTCCATGGACTTCCATGGTCGTGTGTTGTTATCTCCCCTTTTGCATTCCTTTTATTCTAACTACATTTGCTGTTTTTCTGCTCCTCCATTTTAGTCAGGTTGCCGGGGTCTATCGATCTTGTTTATTTTTTCAAAAGAACCACTTTTATGTTTTCATTAATTCTCTTGTTGATGGTGTTTTTACGGTTTCATTATTCGTTGATGTTCAGCTCTTATTTTCATATTTCCTCTCCTCTATTTGTTTTGGAATTTGCTTGTTCTTGTTTTTCTAGGAGTTTGAGATGTCATCATGTAGGTCATTGAATTTGGGATCTTCTCAAGTCTTTTTAATATATGCACCGAATGTATAAACTTTTCTCTCAGGATGCCTCTAGTATGTCCCCCATAGGTTTCTGGTAGTAGTTTGTGTTTCATTTTCATTGACTTCCAGGAACTTTTTATTCTCCTCTTTTATTGCTCGATGATCCATTCTTCATTAAGTAATGACTTATTATAGTTTCCAGCTGTTTTGCATATTTTTTCTGTCAACTTGTTGTTGAGTTCTACTTTTACTGCATTGTGATCAGTAAGTATGCACGGTATAATTTCTATTTCTTATATATTTGCTGAGACTTGCTTTCCCAAAAGTGTCCCTAGGATATCGATTCTGTTTTGGAGAAGGTTCATGGCTGATTGAGAAAATTGTAGATTGTGTAGAAGTTGGATGAAATGTTCTGTAGACATCAAGTAGGTCCATTTGATCTATTGTATATTTTAGATCTTGGATTTCTTTATTGATTTTTTGTTTGGATGACCTATCTATTGATGATAATGGGGTGTTAAAGTCTCCCACAACCACTGTGTTGGTTTATATATTTTTAGGTCTTTCAGGGTATGTTTGATGAAATTGGGTGCGTTGACATTGGGTGCATACAGGTTGATGATTATTATTTCCTTTTGGTCTATTTCCCCTTTTATTAGTATGGAATGTCCTTCTTTATCTCGTTTGATCAATGTAGGTTTGAAGTCTACTTTGTCAGAGATAAGTATTGCTACTCCTGCCTGTTTTCGGGGGCCATTGGCTTGGTAAATCTTCTTCCAGCCTTTCATCCTAAGCCTATGCTTATTTCTGTCGGTGAGATGGGTCTCCTGTAAGCAACAAATTGTTAGATCTTCCCTTTTAATCCATTTCATCAAGCAGTGCTTCTTGATGGGTGAATGAAGTCCGTTAACATTATGTGTTATTACTGATAGGTATGTGGTGATTCCTGTCATATAGTTGTCTTAGTTGTTTGAAGGTTTGATTGTGTGTACCTAAGTTGAGGTTACTCTCTACTGTCTTGCTTTTTCTTTTCCTGTGGTTTGGTGCTGCCTGTCTTTTCATGGTTAAGTTGGGTTTCACTTTCTGTGTGCAGAATCCCTTGCAGAATCTTTTGTAGTGGTGGCTTTGTGGTCACATATTGTTTTAGTTTCTGCTTATCATGGAAGACTTTTATTGCTCCTTATCTTGAATGATAGTTTTGCTGGGTAGAGTATCCTGGGGTTGATGTTATTTTCATTCAGTGCCCAGAAGATCTCACACCCCATGCTCTTCTTGCTTTTAATGTTTCTGTTGAGAAGTCTATTGTGATTTTGATGGGTTTACCTTTGTATGTTACTTGTTTTTTCTTCTTACAGCCTTCAATATTCTTTCCTTAGTTTCTGAACTTGTGTTTTAATGATGATATGTCGTGGGGTAGTTCTATTTTGATCTGGTCTGTTTGGTGTCCTGGAGGCCTCTTGCATCTGTATGGGAATATCTTTCTCTAGATTTGGGAAATTTTCGTTATTATTTTGTTGAATATATTACGCATTCCCTTCTTGCACCTCTTTCCTTCTTCATGCCCATGATTCTCAAGTTTGGTCTTTTGATGGAGTCAGTGAGTTCTTGCATTTTCTTTCACAGGTCTTGAGTTGTTTAATTAATAGTTCTTCGGTTTTTCCTTTAATTACCATTTCATCTTCAAGTTCTGAGATTCTGTCTTCTGTTTGTTCTATTCTGCTGGATTGGCCTTCCATTTTGTTTTGCAGTTCTGTTTCGTTCTTTTTTCTGAGGTTTTCCATATCCTGGGTGTTTCCTCTTTAATGTTGTCTATTTTGTCCTGAGTTCATTTATCTGTTTATTCATCATGTTCTCTTTCACTTTGGTGTTTATACAGTGCTTCTATGGTTTCCTTTATTTCTTCTTTTGCTTTTTCAAATTCTCTATTTTTGTTGTCTTGGAATTTCTTGAGTGTCTCCTGTACATTTTGGTTGACCCTATCCAGTGTCATCTCTGTAAAATTCTCATTGAGTACCTGTAATATGTCTTCTTTTAAATTATTCTTGTGGGCTTCATTGGGTCCTTTGGCATAGTTTATCTTCATTATGTTGGCATCTGGATCTGAGTACCTGTTTTCTTCATTCCCTCTGGTTCCTTTACTAATTTTTTGCTTTGGGGAAACTGGTTTCCCTGTTTTTTCTGTCTTCCCGTAATTGTCTTTGGTGTTGTTACTGTCCCTGTACTGTGTGCAATTAAGTATTTTCTAGCTTGTAATAATAACAATGGTAATATTTAGAATGGAAGGGTGAGCTGAGATGGAAAGCAAGAAGTTAAAGAAATGGGAAAAACAAATACACAGACTGGAGGGAGAAAACAGAACAAGGTATCAGACAAGAAGGTTTCAAAGTATAAACAGGGAGCTTTAGTGTACTAATTGGACAGTAAGCTGAACAGACATTAGAGAGACAGAGAGAGGATTGAAAATCAAAAATAAAAAAAGTAAGAATAAAATAAAAATAAAAAAAGAAAATCTATTATAAAAATGTATTAAAATAAAATGGAAAAATAGAAAATTAAAAAAAACCAAAAAACCAAAAAACCTCCAAGTTCAAATGCAATGAAGTTTCAGTCTTAATAATTTGGATGTCCGTCTCAGTCTCCAGTCCTGGAGATGGTGCCTCAGATGTTGTTCTGTAGTTGTCTCATCAAAGGGGATGCATAAAGTGAACAAAACTACACACACACACACACACACACACAAAAACCCACCAAGTTCAAATACAATACAGTTTCAGTAAGTTTTTCAGCTTGCAGGTGTAATTTGGTTGTTCTCTCATCAAAGGTAGGGAGAAAAAGAAAAAAAAAAGAGTCTGGAGACAGTTCTGAGAATGGTATCTGCGGCTGTGGCTTGCCTGCCTGCTGCTGTCAACCTGCTGTTACTGGCGGTGTTATTTATGCAGACCTCTGGGGTGAGCTTAGCACTCACCTGGCCCTGCAGGCTTTGTTTGCTCAGATTTCTCCTGTGCGTGAGCCTCTGTTACAAGCTTTCCCCTTTCCAAGCACTGGGAAAGGTGACACTGCACCCACGTTTCAGGCCTGCATGTTTATTTACAGTTCATGTGGGAGGTGGGTCTTCCCCCCTCTCCTGTGCAGTTTTCCTCCCACCTCAGCTTTCACAAGCTTTCCTGCTCCTGATTACTGGGCGGTGCTGCTGCTCCTGCCAGCTGCCATGTTTGTTTACAGCTCACGTGGGAAGTGGGTCTTCCCTCCTCTCCTGTGGAGTTTTCCTCTCTCCGCCACTCTCACAAGCTTTCCCGCTCCTGGTTGCTGGGTGCGCACCCCCACTCCTGCCAGAGCCTCTCCGGCCCACCCAGCTTGTTTATTTACAGTCCTGGGAAGGATTCCCTTCCCCCAATCTTTGGCGCTCAGTGTGCCCCACCCTCTTTCCTGCATGTCTTATTTGTTCTTATTGCTTTTTAGTCAGTTTCCTTTTTTCCCTGGGTGGGGGTCGGTCTTTCCAGGGGCTATGCTGCTCTGGCCCAGGCTTGTCTGTGGGAGTACCGCAGTACCGTGAAGCTTACCTGGTCCACGTCTTCCCAAGCCATCTGGGCACTGGTGACTGGCGGCCCGGGGGCCCTCCTGGTTTCTCCATTTAATGTGAAGTGGAGATTCTCTGCGCTGGTTGGAGGTGTGGAGGGGTCAAAGTTATGCCTCTTCTCAGTGATTATGCCTGCAATGTGTGTCTCCAGCTTCTCTCCAAGATTTCACTATAGGAGGTTCGCTTTCTGCTTCCTCCCTCTAGCCGCCATCTTGGAATCTCCCTGAATTTGTTTTAAATAATTATTTTCTTGATTGTTTTGTCTAAGGAAAAACAAATTTTCCATTAATAAAATGCCATTTCATTTGAAGATAAGCCTTAGCCCACTTTCTTCTCAATTAAATGCTGATGCCAAAGATTTGTAGAGGAATTTTTTTATTGCCTACCTAATGTTTCTTACAGATACAATTATGCAGAGCTAAGGTAACATTCAATTGCCTGTTAAATCAATCAAACAGTCTAAAATTTTTAGTGCCTGTCAATATTTAAAAGAGATATTGTAGATCCCATTCTTAATTTCAGAGTGTGAGTTTGCATTCAGATAAGTAATAAATTATTTCCATCATTTTAGAAGGCATCTTTTACTATTCATAATCATACAATACAAAAATTTTCTACTCACAGTAATGATTTAAAGGATGGTTAGCAAACCATGAAGCAGCTCCAAAAGTCATACCAAATCATATAACTTTTATGACTGATATAATAGCTCTATTCTCCACCATAGTAACCAAGCTGCAGAAAATGTTTTAGTAATATTGCAAAATGCATAATAATAGTAATAATATAATGGTTACAAAGAACCAGATACTGCTCTAAGTACTGGATATACATATATGTACATATATTTTTTTTCACTTAGTTCTCACAATAGTCTTATGATACAGTCTTTTTATCCCAGTTCTTACAAATAAAATGGGTATTAAAAACCACAAAGCTAAGAAGTGTACAGCAAGGATTTAACTCCAAGCCTCTTTGTACTTGGAGCCTAGGCACATGAGAATTTCACCATAATACCTGTAATGTCTGTGATCCTTTGTTTATATTAAAAATGAAAGGTAACTCCTAAGAAGAAATTATAGTAAGCCCGCTGTCTCTGTAAATTTTGTGCCACAGATTCAACCAACAGCAGATAAAGAGTATTCCAGAAAAATGCATTTGTTTTTATTTATTTTTTGGCAGTACTGGGATTTGAACTCAGGGCCTTATGCTTGCTAGGCAGTCACTCTAGTACTTGAGCCACTCTACCAGCCCAGAAGAATGCATTTGTAGTGAACATGTCCAGACTATTTTGTCTTGACATTACTGCCAAACAATACAGTGTAACATTTATTTTCACTGCAGTTACATTGTCAGAAGTATTTTAAAAAACCTAGAAAATGACTTAAAGTATACAGGAAGATGTGTAGGTTCTTTGAAAATTCTGTGTTTTAATACAAGGAACTTGAGCATCTGCAAACTTTTATATCCATGGGGGTTCTTTTACAAATTCTTGCAGATATGGAGGAATGACTGTATTGCAATTAACTAGTTTCCTAGTTTTTAAAATTAGTTTATTTATTTATTTTCTAATTTATTTATTTTATTTTTTGAATAAATAAATAAATAAAATTCTGTAGCTCAGGCTGGCCTTTAACTCACAATCCTCTCGCCACATTCTCTCAAGTGCTGGAACTACAGACATGAACCACTACTCCTGGCTTACTTTTCCAATTTTTAAGGAAACTTAAAGGATAAACTTGAAAGTATTAGAACTGACTAATTAAAAGAAAATAGTCAAGACTCTTAAATATTCAAACTATACATCTAGAATTTCAAAGCTTTTACCAATTTTGTGATATAAGTAGT